TCCTACTTTAGACAATTATCATCAGAGCCGATTCTAAGGAGAAAGACAGACTGGTCAAAACAGATCTGTCATCATAAATTCTGAAGGCATCCAGAATGTAATTCACAAAGAGATTATTTGGCATAACTACACTCAAAAGTACCTATAGCCTAAAGGTACCCTTTGGATGTTTAGTTTTTATGACCTAGAGAGGGTTAAAACTCTGACATTCTACATCACTGTCAATAATTGAAAAAGGTTATGTGAAATTTCTTGGAATGTATATGTCTAGACTAGTCTAGAGAAGGTTCAGAAGTGATCTACTATACAATCCAGAATGGCCTAAAGCAGTGGTTCTCAACCTTCCTAATGCCGTGGCCCTTTAATACAGTTCCTCATGTTGTGGTGACCCTCAATTTCATTGTTACAAATTGAACATAATTAAAGCATAGTGATTAATCACAAAAATAATATGTAATTATATATGTGTTTTCCGATGGTCTTAGGCGACCCCTGGGAAAGGGTCATTCGACCTCCAAAGGGGTCGCGACCCACAGGTTGAGAACCGCTGGCCTGGAGAATCTTCTCCAGATAAGGTGGGTTCCTATCAAACTGAATGGCTTCCTGGCAGTGCTGCCAAGCTTTGAGAGACATATCAGTAAGCTACTGATGTTTCCTGAGCCCCAACACTCAAATTCTCATCCCTGGGTCTACTCCTGGGACATCCCAAATTAATACCTACCATTGTTAGGAATAAAAAAGTGCTTATGTAAGTTAAATAGCATGGAGAAAATCAGTTTATTATTGCATACGGAAAGGAGAAAGAGAGGTGTGGGAGGAAGGAATAAAAATTTTACAATGAAGCTCATGACTAACCTCTGAATAGTAGGAGTTTTAAGTATACTATTAAAAATCTGTAATGGGCAGTTAAGGGAATTACCAGATAGTGAAAGAAATGTGAGCTTGCCAAACAAGGATTTCAGTGTAGATTTTGTCTTTATCTGATGATCTTAAAGAGACAAATTACTGTTAAACATTGAAGGAAGAACCTGCCAATTCTTCCACATCTGGATGTTGCTGTTTACATTTCTTTGTTGAGCCTATATCTTCATAAGCTTCTGTTTCATGGTCAAGACAGGATCAGAGACCATGACCATGGATACTGACAACAGATTTGTCTGTTTTATTCTGTCTTTGTCCATGACAATACCTACTGCCTCATCTTGATTTATAAGCAAAACCTGGAAAACCTACAAAAATGTGTTTTGTCGTTTATCTAGGAATAATACAGAAAATATCGCTGTCATTTTTGGTGAAGGAAGTCAATTTTGTACAGTTTATTTCAATGTAAATAAAATGTGAATAAACAAAAAGAAAGGAGAAAGATTATGAGATGGGTTGTTAGAGGAAAGGAAGGGCTTCTTAGATTTATAGAATCTAGGTTATGAACAGTGTCACCCAGCAGGAGGTGCCTCTTTCAAACACTGTTTACTAGATTTTCAACATTCAGAAGCTGGGATCAGATAAAAGCTAGCTCATCACATTGAAATCATCCCCTCAGAAACGGAGAGCTTGTTGCTATAGTCCTCAAAACTTGGCTACATTGCTTCATAGTTAATTTCCCCCAGACCATATGTTCTTCATACATGCTTATTTTTCAGGCTAAGCTTGGCCTAAGAAGGAGACACACATTCTAAAAACAATGAACACACTCCAATTTAATGTCTCACTCTTGTGTGAACTGTAGGCTTAAGCGAGAAGAGGGCAGGCACCTCTTCTCTTAGAAATTGTCCACGATTAGTAACAAAATATTTGAATTTGAAGCAATGTACATTATAGATTAGAAAAGGTGGGAGTGTTGGAAATACTTTTATTAGTTTTTGCAAAAAATTCCCTTTGGCACTTTATTTCTTGGCCCTATTATTCCTTGAGTTTCAGATTAATGAATAGGAGCAAATGTCAGCTCATCTAACAAATACCATGGGAGATATTGGCCATCACAAACAGGCTTGGTTTTTTGTTAAAATTAATGAAAAATGAGGAAAATCATCTCTAAATGTGTTGCTATGCATCAGTGGTTATTGTAGGCTTTGGGGTATGCATCTTGGTAGACTTGCCAGGTTTCCTACATCCTTGCTGTTAGTATCCTGTTTCAGGGCTGCTGGTAGACAAAGGAGCTGAGACAAAGAGTTGCCTGTGAAAGCGGTCACACCCGGATCAGACACCACTGTAACTAACCCCACCTGTGGAGCCTTGGAAATGAAGCTTTCTCATTTTAGTCTCTCCTCTCTCATCTCATTTTTGTTCTTGCCTTTTCTTTCTCTATACTTACTGCCAGCACATGCATATACTACACTTTCATTTGTTTTTCCAATACTGTTCTCTCTTTCTCTTTTGTTTTCCTCACTTTTCCTTTCCCAGCTTGTCCTAACAGAAGGATCGATAAACTGTCAGCTAGAAGCTCTGAAGCTTTCTTTCTTATTTCCATCTCTCATTTCATTTTGTTCCTGCAAGGGGTTTGTGAACTTGGAAGGGAAAAACATTCATGTGTTTATTTTCACTTTTACCCTGCAGAAATTCAGCATCTCCTACAATGACTGTAGGCAGCCAGTCATCTAGTCTTAGCAATACCTGTGACTTAGTCACCGCTAGAAAGCATACTTACTTTCATTTCACATTAAAGTAGTTGCAGAATCTCAACTTGTAGTTTATGTCTATCACTACTTCAAAACTATGACAGCTATAGACCAGCAAATAGATCATATCCTATAACATATTAATAAAGAAGCAAATATGTTACTATATCACACAATTTTAAAAATTTTGATAACTATTTCAATGTAATTGGTTTCCTGTGCAACCCTATATATTATATTTTATTCTTTTACAAACATTATTCTGACCCAGGTTCACCATAAGCTCACCAAAGGAGTCCAGAGCACAAAAAGGGCCAAACCCTCTGTAAACAAATAGGCAGGGCTTGAATCTATGCCTGTTTCTTTGTTGCTTCAGGATACATCCAGATGTCATTAAATAAAAAATCATGAAATATCAAAACAAAATTAATTTTTATAATCTTTAATTAGAATAACATTGAACATGATACTTTTGGTGTTCATAGTGAACAGGGAATGCCTGCCAGTGTTGGCTATTTGAGTTCTAGAAAGCAGAGTGCTGCCACCCGGGACCGCAGGCAGTCGCTGGGAGTCCTCCCAGAGTAAGTGTGAAGCTCTAGGTGCAATGCACCAACTTCAGCCTTTAGTGTCTTTGAAGCAGGA